AATAGTTTTGTCTTATCTACTAAACTGGTCTTGGAACTCTTGGTCTATATTTCTAGAACTCAGATTAGTTTTGTAGTTTCAAATATGTGCTCTCTAATTATTTGTTTAATATCCTCACACTCAAGGACTGATACTTGAAAATTCACCTTAATTGGTACTGAATTATTGCTCCATACAAATTTAATTATACCTCCTCCTACATTTGCATATACTCATGGTTTGATCACCTGTACTTTCAACAAAGTTCAAAACATTTCAACCATATTTCAGTTTTCTCTTCTCTTTAATCTTTCATAGTCATAAGCTTTGCTTAACTCATTATACAGGTTGTTATAGTTACTTTAAAGAGTGTCCAGGTTCTAGAATTTTTTTCTTGCAAAATCAATTTTGTGTTACTGCTGAATCTATTGACTGGTAATTAATACTGCCCTTTTCTTAAAATAACTTGGATCATCCTGCTGTTTGCTGTTTGAGTAACAGCTCCACTACTCAAAGACTTCCTGTGGCTTCTGACTTGGGCTGGATCACAAAGGCATTTAAAAGCTTGAAGTTCAATTCTTGGATAATAAATATCTTCACTTCTGTCTTGCCTGCAAATAAGCAGAACACATACACTATTTTGGTGTTTGCTTTCCTGGTTCTTCACAGTAGTGTGCCTATTTAGTGTTCTGATAACTTTTGTGGAATGAGAAATTTTCTGAGCCCAAGATATTCAGGACCTCAGTATCACTGCCTTTTCAATAATACTGGTGAAGCCAGAGGTGTATCAGGGGAGGTGAGGGTATGCTGACACTTAAACTGTTCAAAGTTATATTGTCTTGTGTTGTATTTCTTGTTGAGTTCAAATTGAGTATCTTAGACCATGGCCCACAAGAGTATATGCTCAGGATACAGGATATTAAATGTGGTACTGCATGACCACTATTTTGTGCTCAGAGCAGACATTACTAATCAATCAGTCTCTTTTTATAAGGCAGGATTTGATTTCAGAATTCTCAATAAGGTGGTTCAGCCATTATTCATTCAGTCAGTCATTTATTCCACAATATGCAGGCACTCACTATTCTAGAGCTGAAGATACTGCAAAGAAAAATTCCAGATGCTTATTCTTATGGAGTTTATATTCTAGTTGGAGATAAAGGAAATAAGTAAACAAGACAATGTGACAGTCATAAGCTGTGTGAGGAAAATAAAACAGGGCACTGTGTTAGCTAGGGAGGTAAAAAAGTAGACTGTTTATCTGAGGCCTGACTGAGGTGAAGAATATCCAGAGAGAGAATAGGGCAAGTTGAAAGTCAGAAATTTATTTAATGAAAACATGAAGATAGAGGTTCTGATGCAATAAAATGATAAGATCCATTAAAGATTTTATGGTCAGATCCTACCTACCTTTTCAGTCCACTGTTTCTGTCATCATCAAATGGACATTTTTGAACTGCAAGTAACTATGAACACACTTCCTCTCTTTCTCCTTATCCTATGTTTCGTTTTCCTAGTATCTTGCTTCCAGTTCTTCTTGCAAGTTTTGCTCTTTAAACCCCACCTGCTGTCACATTTTCTCTGTGAAGCCTTTCCAATAAATTCAAAAGAGCTTAACTTCTCCTTCCACCACATCTCTCTATCACAAGTGTCACTTGTTAACTCTCAACACAATAAACCGGACAGCTTGTTTATTATCAAATTTCTTTATCCTGCTTCTCCAAAACAGAACTGTCTTTGAAGGCAGACGTCATAGTCTATATTCTGAAGTCTTAGCTAGTCAAGCATGGTAGTTGCTGTTAGTACTAGTACTTCCCCACAACCTGAATGTCTGTGACTACTGGGCTGAGACCTCTGGAGTTTAGTGCCCTGTTTGGGTTCTGGTGAGTCAAGGAGTCTCCTTCTGCTCCCTGGGCAGGGGAGGTATCTTGATTGGACAAGCAGGTGAAAAGTGATTGGTTGAAGGAACATGGATGATGTTCATGTTGCTGAACATCTTTAAGTTGAAAATCATCACCATGACAAAATGACATGATACAGACAAAACTTCCCTTTGATACAGCAATAACTTCACCCTCATATCCAAGGTACAGAAAATGAATTATTTCTTTTTTTTTTTAAAAGATCATTCATTCATTCATTCATTCATACAGAACTGGAGTACAGGCCAGAGGTGCAGGGGCAGTAAAAGGATTCACCAGAGACAAAGTGGGGAGTAGAACAGGCCGACTGACAAATACACTGCTGAGGGGAGCAGAGGGCTGGTCAGGAGAGGTCTGCCACGCCATGTGGGTCACCTCCCGTGTGGTGATCCAACTCACACTGAAGGGGCTGCTGCTTGGTTGCAGTGCTGTGTCCTGACCTGTTGCGCCACCAGGGAGGGCCCAATTATCTCTTACTTGTGAGAGAACAAAAGCATCAAAAGAAACTTAGGTTTTAGATGTTCAAAAGAAAAGGGCCAAAATAAAACTGAACAAATGAAAAAGAGCAGTAGCAATTATTCATTCTTCAAGAATTCAGAACAACCACAAACAGAACTTTGATAAATAATGAAGTCCGGGAAATAAAGTTAATTATCATATAATCTATTTTTGGGTAAAGTTAACTATTACCTGGAAACATCTCTAATAAATGCTGAAAGATTTGATGTCCAGTTTGGATTTTAGAAAGAGATGAACTTCAAAGGTGAAGGAAGACTTCAGTCAACTTGTTTTTTTTTTTTTCTCCATCACTACTATACTCCCACTCCTCACCCTTATTTTACTGTTGGTTAAATAAAAGTGGCAAAAGCTATAACTTGGCCTGAGCAAACAGAACATACATCAATAAGTGAACAATTAGTCTAAGCTATTTTCCATGAGACCCAGGCAGCATTGCTAATTGAAACTTAACAAATCCAAGCACAACAAACACTCTCAGCTTCAGTTCTAGAAAGGGAATGTGATCCTGCATGCAGACATGGACCCTTTTTAATTTGGCTGCAAGAGACTGTGACTCTGCAGTTGTGTGGTATAGTCTTTCTAATAGCTGAACTGTCATTGTTTGTTATTTCACATTTATTGAAAAATATAAATGCTAGATGGAACAGAATAGCAATATGTTTTGTTTTAGTCTGATGGCTTCATCTTACTAATCATGGTAATAAATGCTGGCTGGAGTTGGGAATACTTAATGAAATACTGGAATACATTTTTGGTTCTTAAGTGTTAAGGCAATTAATGCAAACAGCTTTTATCTGCATCATTTAAAACTATTGTTAACTTTTACAAAACCGCATGAGGATGCACCACTGGGTGAGGATGGAGGAACCTGTGTGAGGATCTTAGTTACTGAATACACAAGCAGTATGCCAGGACTCAGGTGCTGGAAAGGGAGCTTACATTTGTCTGAGCTTTCCATCTTTTTAAAAAGATTTACTTATTTATTTATGTATACAGAACTGGGGTACAGGCCAGAGGCACAGGGGCGGTGAGAGGATTCACCAGAGACAGAGTGGGAAGCAGGACAGGCAGATCACCGAAGCACAAGCTGAGGGGAGCAGCAGGCGGGTCAGGAGAGGTCTGCCGCGCCGGGTGGGTCACCTCTGGTGCTGGGGATCGAACTCCAACTGAAGGGGCTGCTGCTGGCTTGCAGTGCTGCATCCTAATCTGATGCGCCACACAGGAGGGCTGAGCTTTCCATCGTTAAGTCATCTTTGCGCACAGTTCTTCCCTACCCCCACTTTGAGCTTCACAAGTCCTTAAGGCAACAGTCAGACAGCTGTCTCCATTTTACCGATGAATCTCCTGAGGCTTGGAGAGACTGGCCGGAGATCACCTAGGCAGAGCCCAGGCTTCTCCCTCCTCACCAATGTACATCAGTTATGCCCAAATCATCTACGTATATAAATATTGGACACTATGCCTCCAATTTTGTGTCAGAAGAGCTCTCTAGCAACTGGACAGCCATCAAAGCTCTATTTTGTTGTGGAGGATGGGAGCATCTGCTTGGCCTAAATGCTACCTTCCCTTTTCCTCCGTAATTCAGGTAGCCTATGTGAACCCAAGGGATTTCCTGCTCTAGCATGGCAGTGCATAACTTTGCACCCCTAAATGACTTGTTAAGCAAGAGCCAAAAGTGAAAACGTGTGATTGCCCAGTTACTTGTATCTGAAAACCTTGGTTTTAAAATTTCTTTTCTTCTTAAAAGAACAATTAAAAATTGAAATTCTCCAAGTAATTCTGCCAGATCTAATTAAAGAATCACTGTTTTAACTGGTTAAAATATAACAGTAAGATGCAAAGTAAAAGTCTCCATGCAACCTTTGTCTTCCTCGAAAGGCTTCTAGACTGGGTCTGGAGGAAGGGCCACGCAGCCCTGCCAGCGCAGGGGGCTGTGTGCTGGAGCATGAGCATCTTACTTAAAGACCTGAGGAAAGTCGTCTGCGAGTCCTCTCACAACTCAAAAGCTCTTGCCCTCGCTCTCCCCACTTTGCCCTTCCAGTATGATTTCAGTTAATTCTAAATGGGCTCTAGCAAGGTCAAGCTAAAGCTTTCCTTCGCCTCTGAGTGGGAGCAAAGAAAACAGGTGCTTCCCCGCTCAGGCACAGATGCCCGGTCAAACTCTGGGAAAGTTGCCTGACAGCTTTCTCTCCAGGACACACAGTGGCCCCACGACTTCACTTAAGGGTGAGCCAGTGCGGATGGGAAAGAGAAGGCTGCTGGAGAGAACTTGTGTAGCCAAAACATCTCCAACTCCTGCGAGCTGTGAGGAACTGCCTTTTCTCCGACGTCCAGCAGTGGCGCCTGCTGCACCTTGCCCGCTGTCTTGACCACTCACCCGGCACCCGCATGCCCTTTGTACCCCCGCCCCGCTCCCGCTCGTTCCAGGGCGGGGACGCAGTCTCTCAGGTAATTATTGCCAGCGGGGCCCGCGGGGGAAACGGGGGTGGGCGCACCGGCTGGAGGCGGGCGACGCGGCGGGGCGCCGGCATAAAGGGGCGCTGGGCGGAGCGGTGCCCCATCGCCCGGCTCCTGCGCAGCATGCCGGCCCGCGTCCCTCCGCGCAGCCAGTGGCTGCCGCCGCTGTTGCCACTACAGCTGCTGCTGGTCCTGGGAGCCCACCGCCTGCGCGCAGAGCCAGGCGACGGTGCGCAGACCTGGGTCCACTTCGCGCGCTCCCCAACTCCTGAGGCCGCAGGTTTCCTCCACGGCACCTTCCCCGACGGGTTCTTCTGGGCCGTGGGCAGCGCAGCCTATCAGATAGAGGGCGGCTGGCGGCAGCATGGCAAGGGTGCGTCCATCTGGGACACATTCACCCATCACTCCCTGGTGACCCCAGGCGACCCGTTGGTCGCCGGCATGCCGTCGGGTGCCCCGTCACCGTCCCCGCCCGCCACTGGGGAGGTAGCCAGCGACAGTTACAACAACGTCTTTCGAGACACAGAGGGGCTTCGCGAGCTCGGGGTCACCCATTACCGCTTCTCCATCTCGTGGGCGCGGGTGCTCCCCAATGGCAGCTCCGGTGCCCCCAACCGCGAGGGGCTGCGCTACTACCGGCGCCTGCTGGAGCGGCTGCGGGAGCTAGGCGTGCAGCCCGTGGTCACCCTGTACCACTGGGACCTACCCCAGCGCCTACAGGACACCTACGGTGGCTGGGCCAATCGCGCCCTGACGGACCACTTCAGGGATTACGCCGAACTCTGCTTCCGCCACTTCGGTGGCCAGGTCAAGTACTGGATCACGATCGACAACCCCTACGTGGTGGCCTGGCATGGCTATGCCACCGGGCGCCTGGCACCCGGTGTCAGGGGCAGCCCGCGGCTTGGGTACCTGGTGGCGCACAATCTCCTCCTGGTGAGTTCGAGGGGCCAGGTGGAGGGACCTCGCTGGGGAAAGGGCCTCTTGAGACCCCAGGGGCAAGAGGTGTGCCTGAGCCTCCAACTCAGAGGAGACCCCGCTTGAACACGTTCCTGAGATCACTTGGGACTCACACCCGGCACAGAGCAGCTTGGGTTTCCTGTGGAGTTGGGGGTGGGAGGGAAGTCCCTCGGGGAGAGCGCGAGTGAGTGTCCTTTGGAGCCCATTTGTTAAAAAGAAATAGGAATCAGTTTTTCCAATGAGAAAAGGGAACTCCTTTCTCTGGAAGTAGAGGAATTCCTAGAGGTAAGGGCAGTGAAGATTTACTGATAGCTAGGGGAATGAGGAGGGTGGACGAAAGAAGTTTATTCTGAAGCTGCAGAGAGCTTTTCTCTTTGCGGGATTTTGTTGAAATGGAAAGAGTTGAAAGTTAATCCAAAACGATCTGTCCTACAGTGAAGCAAATGTGAAGGTGTCAAAATCGTTATCTCCTGGACAGCCTGGTTTAAATTGCCTGTGGAAGTTGTTTCTGTGGCAGCGTAAGGAACTACATCACCAACTTTCCATAATCATCAGGGCTGGAAGATCTCTCATGCACTCAAAATCGAGGTGTAACACACCGCAGCAACTACAGGGTGTCCTACAGCATTTGCATTTCCATGACGCTCTTTCTCCGGTGGAAAGGGCTCCTGGCTAATTAGATGATTAGGCTGACACAGTGGATTTGAACACTTGTGTGCAGAAGGTTTAATAAATTTGACAGCAGGAAGTGCTGACATGCCATTATAAAGTTGTCTCCTCCTTTTTCTCCTTGACTCAGTGTTCAAGATTAGATATTATTGATTTGATGGTTCATTTATAATGATGCAAGTTGTTATATTTTGTAGAGTTTTGTATCATGAGAAAATATTTTAAGTATGAATGGGAACATTTCAAATGGTAGTTTTTGATATGGTGTTTTGATAGCCTACTAGAAGGCCTATTTTTGATTTTAGAAGTCGACCATATATTTTGAGCAAATTAAAAACTACTCCTTTAACACATTTGCAGTTGAAGCCATAGGTCATGGAGAGAGGGACAGACGGGATTATTGAGCTGACTTAGTGCTCTGAGCTGCTGGTATTGTTAATCATGGCTAAATCAGATGTATGTCAACTCCATAAGACCTGTTTGCCATCACAAATCATAAGAAGTGTTTTATTTGCTTGACAAAATTGTGGCTTTAGTGATTTTATATTGGTATATCTCTTCATTATACTTAAGAGTTATCTGTCAATCCTTTAAAGGAATCAAAAGAACCTAAACACCATTTGCTTATGTTTAGTGATAGAAATATGGAAAGAACTGTCTTCTGTTTTGAATAAAACTATCAGTCCATTCAGAAACAAGTCACAGGTTCATGAACCAGCTGTTCATGACCTGCAAAGTCACTGCTGTAGATTTAAATAGCTCAAGTTCTGTTTTTAGAGAACATGTTATAAACTCAGTATGCATACATACAAGTTACCAATCACCTTGGTGTTTAAAAAAAAATAAATTAAAAAATTGGGACTCCAAGCCTTCTAGTGCTCAAATAGTTAACCTGATTTTGATTTGATGAACTTTTCAGTTATAATTTTGTATTTGTATCAGAGAAGCTTACCAAACACTAAGTATCCCTTCCTGAAATGGTGGACTTTGTATTCATAAGAAATTAGTAACAGTGGACATTTGGTTTTGCTGATGATGCAAACAAAATGCTAGTTGTAAAATATTAATTTTTGCCTTCAATTTTTTTTGGTTTGGAGTTTTGTCATTCTTGTATCTTATGAAGACCTAAATTGATATTATCAGAGATGGTTTATTAAATTAATTTTTATGTGAGATATTTTCAGTGTTCTTTTTTGATATATTTGTTGGGAGAAGGTGATCTTGTTTGAAAAGATAAGACATATCCTGCAGATTTTGGTAAGAGAACATTTCATCTGGGGTTTAGATATTCTTGTTAGGGACCACTGAGCCCCCTAGGATATTAATTTGTATTTTGGGACCTGATGCTGATGAAGGACAAAATAGGTTAACAACCCTCTTCCACCTCATTCTTCATTCTGCTAATTTAAAAAATGGGCTACAGAGCTCCTCTCATGAGAGAGGACATTTGACCCTCCTTTTGCAGGCCCACGACTGTCCAAAAATTCAAGAATGACGACCATGAGGTGAGGAAGCAGGTCAAACTAACTATAGAATGGACAGGGAGTAAGGTGGATACTGTTCAGAATGGTGGTCTACAATGTTCTGTTGTAGGTTTCTGACACTAGGATGAACCTTAATAAAATTGCTGTGTGTGTGTGTGTGTGTGTGTGTGTCAGAGAGAGAGAGAGAGAGAGAGAGATTGGAAGAAGACCCTTTCCATAGAGCTCTGAGTACACTGGAATGTGGGATGCTTGTTCATCTGAATATAAGTTAGATGGAAGTCACACCTTCAATCTCATTTGAAGAGGGACTTCTGTGTCTTCATAACTCTTGAAAGAAGATTCTTGATGTATCTGGAAAAACAAATATTGAGGCCTCTAGCTGAGGGATCCGGTGCAATGGTATCTCTCAGGTTTTATTCTTCTCGTGGGTTTCTGAGAGGACCAGAACTGAGTTCCAGATACACCTGGGGCTCTTGAAGTGACTTGTAGAGGGAACCTGTGGAAAAAGATAACCTCTCTCACTTAATGAGGAGGGTAGGAGATACTGTTTTGAGTGTTGATGTGTAGTATAAACTTGACTGTTATTGAATGGGCTACACAGTAGCAGAGAGTTGCAATTGGGTATGTGGATTTAGAAAGAAATCAAAAACATTTTGCTGGTGGGGATGATCCAGGTGGGGAGGGTCTTAGAGGAAAAGGAGAGGATGAAGTTATGGTGGATGAAGGAGCCACAAGGTAAAATGGTCAGATGGAGTGGCTGCAAAATAAAAGTGGTCAAAATTGCCTTTATCAATACTTTGAAACAAGATGTTCTCTTCTTCTTGGCTTATGGGAATGTTGGCAGTTTGACCTAGTCCCAGGGTCAGATCCAGTTTATAGAGGACAATAAAGTGAATTTTCTTGCAGTGGCTTTCTACTGCCCTATTCAATATGATTCTAGTGATGTCAAATCTTTGTAGTATCACTGCTTATGTCTTAGGTGATCTGTCATAGCATTTATTTACCCCTATCTCTTCTGTATAGACTTTCTCAGCTTGGCTTTCAGAGCCTCACTCTCTCTTGCTACTCCTCTTAGCTCTCTGATAACACCTTCTCAGTTTCTTTTATTGATTCCTCCTGACCTTGCATGTAAAAATTAAAATGTCCAGGACTCTGTCCATCAGCCATTTCTCTTTGAAGACTCTGTTCCTGGTCCCTCCAAGGTTTGCGTTTCCAGCCAGGACTTCTGTTCTGAGCTCCAGACTTGCACAGACTACTGCCTTCTCCTCTTACAGGTCCAATAGGCAAATCAGACTTGATCCACCTAAAAGCAAACTCTGCTTTCCCCATCATCGTAATAGCAACTTTGCTCTTAAGGTTGATTGGATCTCAAATCTTAACTCCTCCCTTTCTCTTTTATCTTAATTTGCATCCATCAATGACCCTACAATTCCACCTGCCATTAAAATATATCCAGAATCCAGCCACTCCTTGTCTACAGCTCAACCAGGGCTCTGCGTGGGTGACTGAAATGGCCTCCTACCTGCTGTTCTTCTGCCTGTGCCACCTATGGTGTGGCTTGATGGATCCTCTCAAGGGACTCTGTGTGAATGAGTCCTTACTTATTGAAACCCCACATTTTCTCAGGCACCAGCTCACGTGCTCCCTGTGGCCCCACACGGAAATGCCATCTCTTCCTTCTATGGAACCCACCTGCTTCACTTCTGATGCTGCCTACCACACCCTTCCTTTCATTTAGCCTCAACTGTCCCTGTGGCCACTCCACTAGTGGGCAATTCTGTAGATGAGAAAGCCACGTTCCTTTCATCTATGTTTCTCAAAATGTCTTTTTGTTCAACAAGTTGTTTCTGGTTTATTAATAGTGAGGCTCTTCTTTCTAAGTGGATGCTACTAGGTTTTGATCTAATTATCCACCTTTCTAGTTACTTTCTTTAAAAAAAAAAGATTTAGGGCCCTCCCTGGTGGCACAGCGGGTTAAAGCACAGCACTGAGAAACTAAAGCCACTTCTGCATGAGTTCGATTCCCGCCTGCCCCGGAGGTGACCACATGGCGTGGCAGACCTCTCCTGGCCCGCCCACTGCTCCCCTCAGCAGTGTACTTCGTCGATCTACCTGTTCTGCTCCCCACTCTGTCTCTGGTGAAGCCTCTCACCGCCCCTGAGCCTCTAGCTTGTACCCCAGTTCTGTATGTGCAAATAAATAAATCTTTAAAAAAAAAAGATTTATTTACTTATGCACATACAAGAACTGGGGTACAGTCAGAGGTGCAGGGGCTGTGAGAGGATTCACCAGAGACAGAGTGCAGGAGCAGAACAGGCAGATTGGCGAAGTACACTGCTTAGGTGAGCAGAGGGTGATGCAGGAGTCTGATGCAGGACTCACTACCATGTGAGTCACCTCTGGGTCTAGGGATCAAACTTGAGCTTAAGTGGTTGTGGCTGGCTTCACAGTGCTGCTTTTTAACCCATTGTGCTGCCAGGGAGGGCCTTCTAGTTATTTTCTATTAAAATAGGAGTAGCAAACTCTAATCACATAGAAAAATGAATAAATATAAGGGAACAGAATTTGACATTTTCTGTGAAAACTTAGGGTTTACTGAATTTATGTAAGACTCCATGGTAAAAAGTCCCTAACAGAAACTATATAACATTTTAAAGATGTTTTCAGAGTGGGAGGTGGAGGAAGACTTCAGCCAGGATTAAAGAGCATATAGTGGAAATAGTTTCATTATCTGGGAACTTTCATTGCCCAAGTAATAGTGGAGCCAGTTTCTAGATATATCCTGAAATTACACGTGCAATGTATTTAGGGAAGCACTTTATT